TTTTGATTGAAGGAATATGAACCTACTGTGGATTATAAGGTAAAGCATTTGAACATTTTATGTGCTCCTTAATAGGCCATCCTTGTAGGAACCTAGAAGGCAGTGGTGCTGAGTGGGATTTAAACTGTGTGTTCCCCAATAAAAGGTTTCAGAGGAGAAGAATGTTAGTATGTGGCCCAGACACTAGTCTTGTGATATTTTGGTGAAGAGTGTGGCTAATTTTTGCTCTTGTTTGAAATATCTACCTGAGGCTAAAGTGAAGAGCTTTGGGTTAATTCCATTGGCAGAGGAAATCTCAAAACAGGTTAGTATAGACTCTGTGTGGTTGTTGATGTTAACTCTAAAGAAGATTTATAATGAAAAGGAGTAAAGTGAGCAAAGAAAAATATAAAATGTACAATTTGAGGAGAAAAGGAGCACCAGAAAGTAGAATGGAACTAACTTCTTTGTGCAAGGACATAAACAGAATTTCTTTGAAATAAAGGAAGCAGTGACCTCAGACAAGATCCCATCCAGCTAAGATTCCAACCTGTAAAAAGAAATTAAAATAAAGCTTAAAGCCAGATTTCATGGTTCATGTATTTAATCCTAGTACTCAAAAATCTAAGGTCAATTTGGATCTACAGAGCATGTTCCAGGACAGCCAAGCTTAGGCATTAAAGAAAACCATGGAAATCAGAAAATTGGTGAAGGTGTAATTGAATAAGGGGGATATGTACCAGCCCCAGTAAGCCCCAGAACTTGGCAGTTTTGGCCAAATGTTTTTGGCTTTAGCGTCAAGGAGCAGCTAAGGAAAGCCACTGAGGCCAATCATGTGTCAGAGGTGCCTCTGAATGGTAGCCTAGAAAGGCCATTGTATGAAGCTGTCAAGGTAAAGCCTGGATTGCCTGGGAGATCCCAAGATGTTGAAAATTCCAGAGCCATGCAATACCTACCAAGGAGAGCTGCTAACAGGGAGTAGGACCAGCTCAAGATAAAAATTGTGTTGCCATCAACAAAGCCCAAGGCAGTTGGAGCACTTTCACATAAGACATGGAAATGCAGAGTTTACAGCTTGCCCAGCTGGTTTTGTGTTTTCTTTGGTCTAGTATTTTACTATGCACCCTTCCCTGCATTTTGGAATGGTAATGCATATCCTGTAATATTATATTTTGGAAATGTGGTCTGCTTTTTTATTTTTATTTTATAGGGTATTGCATTACTAAGTTTTATGAATTCTTTTATATTTTGGATACCAGTTGTCTTAGTGTTTCTATTACTGTGAAGAGACAATATGATCATGGCAAGTCTTCTAAAGGAAAAATATTTAATTGGGTGGCTCACAGTTTTAGGGGTTTAGTCCATTATCATCATGGTGGACATGATGGTATGCAGGCAGAAATGGTGCTGATATTGAGAAGACCCTACCTCTTGATCCCATAGACAACAGGAAGAGGTCTGAGAGACTAGGCACAGTTACTTAAACATAGTTACTTCACAGCCCACCTTCACAGTGCCATACTTCTTCCAAGAAGGCCATACTTACTCTACAAAACCACACCTCCCAATAGTACCATTTCTTATGAACTTATGGGAGCCAATTACATTCAAACTACCACATTTTACCCCCTGACCCACCATAAGCTTATAATACCACAGTGTAAAATGCATTTAGTCAAACTTCAAAAGGCCCATGGTCTATCACAGTAACAACAATGTTTTACAGTATAGCATTCAAAGTTTCTTCTGAGATTCATACAATCTCTAACAAGAAGTGTAACAACTTAGTTTTGAAATTAGGTGAAAGAGCTGAACAGACATCTCATTTTAGAGAGCACAGGTGAGAAGTTACCATAGCAAAGTGCTGTCACCAACACATGCCATCATGGAATTGCAAATTCAAATAGTAGAACCAATGTGTACCTTATTCCCAGGCCACCAACTGTAAATGTAGGTGAAGTGAGAGGTAACAGAAGCACCATGCTATGTACTGTTGAAAATGCAAGATGGTACAGCCACTTTGGAGGATAGTTTCTTTCAAAATTATAAATAGACTTTACCATATGACCAGCATATAAACTAAGGACAAACATGGTAAGCATACATTTAATTAGCAACTATAGTCAAACTTTGGTAAATGCTAAAATATTGAACCTTAGCCATTGAGTTCTAAAGTCTATTATATGAACTAGAATACTGTAATAACATTTGGACTTATATTACTTCAATACAGATATGCTGTGATAATTATTATGAGTAGAAACTCATTTTTATTTGTTTTAGTAAAAGACAAATGCTTGCTTTTCTTGTCAAAATACATGATGAAATAAATTGATTCTATGAATATTGTTGAAAGAGTAAGAAGAATCATGTCATATATGCAAGCCAGCTAACTACACATTGCAAGAATGTTAAGAAGGGAATGCATTCTTCATGTAGAAATAGGCCTAATTAAATGGGTCACCAAACATGATTACCTGATAAAGACATATGAAATAATTCTGTCAGTAATATGGTTGGATTTTCTTTAAGTAATTACTTGTGTGCACTATCTTTATATTTTACCAAATCATCTTGTTCTTTCTTCTTTCTAGCCCTGCTCTAGATTACTATCAGAGAAAGTGGTTTTTACTTGAAGTGTCTGCTAAGTTTCAGGGACTTAGAAAACACAGGGAGCATATATAAGGCAATTATATTATGGAAAAAATATAAGTAGTGTCCTTTTTTTCTAATGTCTCATGATCCAGAGTTATAGGGATAGGAGAAATTACATGAAGATTTAATCCACATATGAATTTCAGTTTCAAACTCACAAAGCTACCTTTGTTTCCATCTGTTATCTCATTTAGCAGATGCAGAAATTAAGATGTCAGTGAGGATAATTTCAGGTTATGAAGTTTGATATCAAACACCATTCAAATTCCATGCTCACTTAACAGTCATAACCCATGTTTTAATATGTACAGTGATATAAGACTACTGCTATAAAAGCTGTCATAATCTTTGGGGAGCAGTAATTTTTGAAACTCTCATATGAAACTAAGATTTCTATACATTTGTATCGATTGTTTTTGATATTATTTTTCATTATATTTTAAAAACTTATTTTTTAAATATTTTTCTTATTTTACATATTTATTCCAGTGCCCTCTACCTCCCAACCTTCCATTCCTTCCCCCAGATTACCCTCTGTCCCATTCCAAATCCACTCTCCAAAATGGTGAGGCCTTCCAGAAGGGATCATCAAAATTCGTCAAGTCATTTGGGGTAGAGTCTAGGCCCTCCCTTCTGTCTTTAGGCTAAGGAAGTATCCCTCCATGGGGAATGTACTCACAAAGGCCTTTGAGTACCTTTCATGAAACATCCTGGTTCTACTGTCAGAGGTCCCATAGACTGCCCAGGCCTTCTAATTGAGACCAAGGTTCAGGGGGTCTGAGTTGGTCCTATGCTAGTTTCCCAGCTATCAGTCTGGGTGTCCATGAGCTTCCCCTTGTTTAGATCAGCTGTCTCTGGGGGTTTCCGTAGCCTGGTCTTGACCCCTTTGCTCATTACTCCTCCTTGTCTTCAATTGGATTCCAGGAGTTTGGCTCAGTGTTTAGCTGTGGGTGTCTGCTTCTATTTCTATCAGCTATTGGATGAAGGCCCATGTTCAAGTATTTGTGACTGGGTTACATCACTCAAAATGGTTTCTTCCAGATCCATCCATTTGCCTGTAAACTTCTTTTTCTTTCTTTCTTAATTTCTTTCTTTCATTCTTTTTTTTTTTTTTTTTTTGATATTTTATTTTTTTTTTCTCATTTTACATATCGATCCCAGGTCCCCCTCCCTCCTACTCTCCCATTCCTCCCTCCAGGCCACCTCCACCCCTGTCCCATTCTCCATCCACTCCTCAGGGAGGCTGAGGCCTTCCATGAGGGATATGTTTGTATCAATTATTGATGCCTTGCTTTAATTGGTTATACATGTTATCTATAGCAATTCTAATCATGAAACGAGACAGTAGACAAAGGGAAGCCAGGAAGAAGTTTGGCAGTAGGTCAGTTCAGCACATAACTTTTTCATAAGGAGTAATTAGTTAAACATTTAAGTATTACTTATAAATGCAAAAATATACAACATGCATATATAAGATGTATGTACATATGAATGTACTATTAAATTATCATTTCCACACACATTATATAATACATATGTAATACATATAATATATTACACAGAAAGTCAATTAAATGAATCAATTATGTAAAATATTTAAAATATTTAAATTGTTTCACTGCCATCTTCCATTAATTTACTTTCTACTTTGATTACATCCTAAACAAAAGCATAGTCCACTTGTTTTAGTCACTGAGCCCAAAGCATACTTATATGTCTACAAAACCATTGTCTACATGTTTCATGAGCACTACTATGACTCACCAACTAAACTGTCCCTGCTCTCTCTGTCATTTCAAAATCCACTGAAGTTGCATGGTACTAGAATATTAAATGTATTCAATACTGTCATAAATTATAGGCACTGGAATTGAGTCCAGTGCTGTAGACATGTTTTTATTGGGAAAAAATCTGCTGGGTCTATTTTCGGACACACTCAAGAAAGCATATTTCTCACTATGGAAGCTTTGACTGCACACTTTTCCATTAATGATATATTGATATCAATACAAGATATTTTGTCATATTCTGCATTCCATTCCATATTGATTCATTGGAACTTTGCTTTGGATAATGATTCTCATCTTCATATTCTATCTCTAACTATTTTATTGTTTTGTTTTCAAAATAGATTATATATGCTTATAATTTATTTGGATCAAACTTATCAGCTATTCTTTTCTCTCTTATGTTTCTTCCATCCTTTCCCTACTTTTCCTTTCAAGTCATGTTTGTTCACTCTCACTTGTGTGCACTCTTCTTAAATATCTTAAAGTAGTGTTTCTTTTAAATATCTCTTCAACATACTATGAAAGTGAAGTTAAGGTTTAGAGGGAAAGACAGAAATGTGGAGGTTTATTTCCTACCTATAAAATCCAGGTGGCACCTGTTCTACCAGGAAGTTCTTCTCCAAGTCTTGCAGGATGTCATTCAGCATTCGGACACGACTGGCAGCTCTCTCCTTTGGGTCATTAGCAGGCCGCATCTCATCTGACTGGAAGAGTTCAGCACTCTCCCTCAGACGTGATGCCTTGGCAAGCAGGTAAGGGACACTGGGTTCACCACCTGGTGAAGATAAATGAGCCTGTTTTAGGAGAAATTTTAATCAAATGAGCCAAGCATATGTATTTTCATCTAGTCTAGTTTATAAATCAGATTGATCCCTTGATGGGAGATGTCATTCTGTATATGCTTTTCATTTTGGTTAATGAATAAAGCACTGTTGGCCAATAGGAAAGGAAGACAGGAGGGACTAGGAGACAAGGAGGAAAGAGGAAGTAGGAAGGAAGAGCCAAAATGGAGAGTCACCATACTCCTTACAATCCCTGATGAAAGAGTGGCCTGTCACCAATAGTTCTTTCTGTTTTCTTCCCAAACAAAGGTTTATATGGTTCAATTAAACTCTGATAACATTTTTTTCTACCACACTGTAAAATTTATATTATACACACACACACACACACACACACACACACACACACACACACATATATATATATATATATATATATATATTACTTAAGTGATTGGCTACTCACTAATTATAGAAGGTAGGTATTGTTGCTTGGTTATATAACCAACACTATATTAAGCTTCGTAAGCAATTATATTAATTAATAATTACCAAAAGCTATTAAAGCTATTAATTAAATCATTTAAAATTTACCAAACTTTAGAGCACAAATTAGATTTGTGAGCCCCTTGCTTATGGAGAGATTCTCTCTCATCCTAGTTACATGGGGGAGGACCTAGGTCCTGCCCCACATGATGTGACAGACTTTGATAATCCCTCATGGGAGGCCACTCTCTCCGATGAGTGGATGGGGGCTGGAAAAGGAAGTTTGTGGAGGGAATGGGAGGATGGGAGGAAGAGGGAACTAGGATTGGTATGTAAAATCAGATTGTTTTCAATTTACATAAAACCTAATTTTAAAAATATTACCAAGTTTCATTTTACAGAAAATGGGACTAATTAAGGCTCACAATTAAGATAACATATCATTAAGTAAGTATCAGAGTTAAATTGGATCCTTTATCTTGCTGGTTCAACATTCCAGGCTTTTAACCATAGTATACCTGCATCCAAAGAAAAAAATATAAAGGATAGAATCATGGTGATGCATACCTGCCTTGCCAGAATTTGAGAGGTGGAATTAGATGGATCTTGAACTCAAGGGCATTCTTGGTGACAAGGAGAATATGAGTCAACCAAGGCCACATGAGACACCATCAAAAGAGATAAATAAAAAGGAAAGAAAAGAATGTCTTTTCTTATGATGGGATGGCACTTGTATGCATTGAGCCTCTATTGTCATTAGTAGAATTTTTAATAACATTTTTGACTTTACAGTATACTAGAAATTGTCACATGTGTTTCTACATTAGCTTTGTTTGTTTCTCAGAATACAGTCATTTTTCTTATTACCCATTTTTTGAGCAATAATTCTTTAAATGTCTTTTTTCTCAGATAGAAAGGGATGAGAGTAGGAAAGGCAATGGGAGTGAATACAATCAAGTTATAAGCATATATAAAATGGTCAAATAATCATTTTATTCTATTTAATAAAGGGGGAGGGAAAGCAAAGAACACATTGTAGAAATGTCTCTCCTTCTACCTGTATACCTTGGGTATATAACACAATCATCAGGCTAGTAAACAATTGCCTTAACTTGCTGAGCCATTACATTGACCTAAATTGTAAATAGATTAAAACAGAAATAATTCATTGTTTACAGTGTATGAAAACATCAAAGATGACTTAAAAGAAGTATCTGAACTAAACATAAAACCTCTTACATATTGTATATTTACAATATACAGTATAGAATATACTGTATATTTACAATTTACAGTATAGAAGAAATAATGGAACAGAAAATAATGTTTAGAACCTTGCTCACAAATAATGATATGGTTCATTCAACTGAAAGAGTCACCATGTTTGAACACTTATGTATCAGTGTGCATTCTATGTTGATTAATTCTTGTTTGATTTCATGGCACATCATGAGGATAGGATTTTATTCATTTTGAAAATCAAATCCCAAATACTTTAGTGAAATTTTAGGATGACATGACTTTTCTTACATTATAATGATTCACCAAAGCTAGTAAAAGCTCAGACTATCTTTGCAAAAAAGAAGAAATGGGATTGATAAGGCACATTAGAAGTCACTGAAATTGAATGAGCAAAGAAAAAAAAAATAAAACAAGTTTGACATCTTTGATGTTCTTCCACATAAGAAAGAAAACTCCTTTCTGATCCACCATCCACTGCAGAATTCAAGGAATTACTACAGAATCAACTGAGACAAACACTACCACTCCCTTTATTTAGCTTTAAGTGAATTTATCTTTTATGGTACTGCAGGTGCAGTGAACAGACAGCTTCCAGAACTACTTAGTTTCAGAACACACAAAAAAAAAAAAAAAAAAAAAAGAAAGAAAGAAAGAAAGAAAGAAAGAAAGAAAGAAAACAGAGTGACAACATGCCTTATATATAGGAAGGCATTACTTCCAGAGTTGAAATTCAGGGATTGAGAAGCAGCTCCCTTGTAATGCTCACACAATCTTTTCAATGTATAAATTATGCTTCAAGGAACTTTAGCAGCCATCTCCCTCTCAATCTATTAGAGCTTGTTACTACCTTTTAATCAATCCCAGAAAGAAATGTTCCAATTTCTCTCTCTGAAATTTTGTTGAACCCAGATGAAGTAATCCTTCATGATTTTTGAATCTGCATGAGGATGTTAGATGTATCACATAAAGACAGTTGGCTATTTAGTTGAAGTCATTTTGCTGGTACCTAAAATTGCACCAGATGTGTCATTTAATGAGGGAACTACAAGATTAGCTAGGATTATAGAATTCAAACACAGATAATATTTTTATCTCTATCTGATTTTTGTCTCTGTTTCTAAGGTGAAAAGAAACTCATAAAGGAAAATACAATGTTGTTTGTCTCCACATATCTTAGTGCTAGAGTAATAGCTATTCTACCACAATCATTTAGTTAAAAACTTTTTTGAATGTTCAGTATAAGGTAATGTCTGTGAAATATAATGATGCATTCATTACACAATGATTATAAAATAATTCAGGGATATGTTTGGTGTATAACAATCACCTATGATATTATATCATTTATATACTATATATAAATGAATTATAACTGAAAATATAGAAACTTAGAATGAGAAGAAAATATCAGTTAAGTTATACAAAGTTAAATCAAAATATTCCCTGAAGATCTTCTATAAACACTTCAAAATTCAATCAAGAGCTAAAATGTCACAGAATACAAGATTTCTGGAGGCTGTTATCAGCTCACATGTAAAGATACTATCCCTCCCTCTCTCCCTCCCTCCCTCATTCTCTTTTACCCACTCTGCCCTCTAACATGCACACTAACCACCCTCCCCAATTCCATATGTAGGACAATGCCATCCAGTTGGGGTCATGTAGATCTGACAGGTCATGTGAAGTAGGGACGAGGAATTCTCTCCTGTCCCTAGGTAAAGGCAGTTATGCCTCCATGGGGGATGTGTTTTACAAGGTCCGTTTGTGCACCAGGGATACATCCTCACTCCACTATCTGAGGTCCCTTAGACTGCTCAGTCATTCTGGCTGAAACCCATATTCAGGGGGGCCTGAGTCAGTCCCACGCTCGATTCCCAGGTATCAGTCTGGGGGCCCATTAGCTCCTCCTTCTTTAGGTCAGCTGTTTCTTTGTGTTTCTGGAGCCTATTCTTGTCCTCTTGATCTGCATCTGAGTTCTAGTTACACTCAGTGTTTATGTATGGGTGTTTGCTCCTGTTTCCAACAGGTTTTGGATGAGGGCTCCATGGATAATTTAGTTGTTGATCTCAATATCTGGAAAGGGCATTTATGGTAGCCTTTCCACGGATGCTCAAATTGTTAGTTGTCATCAGGCTTGTAGTTATCTAGACCTTTCAGAGGGTTCCATTTTCTTTTGAAACAAATATTGGCTCCTTCTTTTATGTTCTCTCTCTGTCTCTCTGTGTCTGTGTCTGTGTCTGTGTCTGTGTCTCTGTCTCTCTCTCTCTCTCTCTCTCTCTCTCTCTCTCTCTCTCTCTCTCTCTCTAGTCTTCTATTCCTAACTGGACTCAATCTTCCTAGTCAAATGTGTTTTGCTCTCCTCCCCCTGGCTTTCTCCTACTTCTCTCTCCATTACTGCCCCCCACTACCTCTATTCTCTGGGGGACTTGTTCCTTCCCGCTTCTGTGAGGGCCTTTATATGACACTCTTAGAATACAACTTGTATCCTAGTTCCTCTGGTGGTATAAATTATAGGTTGGTGATCCTTTGCTGTAGGTATAAAATCCATATGTGAGTGAGTACATATGATGATCCTCTTTTTTGACTGGGTTACCTCATTCAGGATGTTTTCTTCAAGTACCATCCACTTGCCTATGAATTTCAAGATACCATTATTTTTTTCTGCAGAGTAGTATTCCATTGTGTAGATTTGCCACATCTTCATTATCCATTCTTCAATTGAGGGGCATCTAGGTTGGTTCAAGGCTCTTGCTATTACAAATAGTGCTGCTATGAACATAGTTGAACAGATGTCTTTGTTGCATGGATGTGGATCATTTGGGTATATGCCTAAGAGGGGGATTGCAGGGTCCTGTGGTAAAGTAATTCCCATTTTCCTGAGGAACCGCCATACTGATCTCCAAAATGGCTGCATGAGTTTGCACTCCCACCAGCAGTGCAGGAGCATTCCCCTTTCTGCACATCCTCTCCAGCATGAGTCATCATTGGTGTTTCTAATTTTAGCCATTCTGGAAGGAGTAAGATGGTATCCCAAAATTGTTTTGATTTGCACATCCCTGATAACTAGGGATGTTGAGCACTCTCTTAAATGTCTTTCAGCCTTTTTGATTTCTTCTATTGAGAATTCTTTCTTCAGTTCTGTACCCAATTTTTCATAGGGTTATTTGGTGTTTTGTTCATTAGTTTCTTGAGTTCTTTGTATATTTTATAGATCAGCCCTTTGTCAGTTATAGGATTGGTGAAAATCTTTTCCAAGTCTGTGGGC